ATCTATCTATCTATCTATCTATCTATCTATCTATCTATCTATCTATATTTATCTATATATTTGGTTTTTCCAGACAGGGTTCTCTGTATATCCCTGGCTTTCCTGGAACTCACTCTGTAGACCAGGCTGGCCTTGAACTCAGAGATCCACCTGCTTCTGTCTCCTGGGTGCTGGGAGGCATAAGCCACCACTGCCCAGCTAACCTGATTGTTTTAAAGCATTGATATTTTGAGTAAGTTTTAGTACCTTCAAGTTGTGAGTCAGTAAAACTGCTCAGGGAGTTTATAGAGAGTGAGGCCAGTCCTGTTGCTGAGAACTCATGTGCTGCTAATATAGGATTAGTTTGATTTTTCAGTTTGAGCAGAGAGGCCATTCTAACCCTGCCACTTGCCTTCCAGCACAGCTGTGGAGATGGGTCAGAAGTCCTCCTCCTCCTCCTCTTCCTCCTCCCCTTCCTCTGCACAGTCTCATCGCTCCTCTGAATTTTCACTGCCTGGATTCCAGAAGGAAAAATATCCTGAGGAATTCAGCCTGCTTAAGTCACAGACAAGTGAGTAGGCCCCAGGCCTTCCTCCATAGGCCTCTGCTTCTGGGGCCTTTTCAGAAATCTGTCATATTATGGGCCAAGTCACGGAAGACCTCCCCTGCCCAGTGCCAGCTCTGGCATGTTTCCTCTTGGGTCCTCATGATGGCTGTGTGGGAGGTATGTATAGTCATATGGTTTTCACAGGTGAAAGGTCTTAGTGTAAGTGCCACAAAAAGTATTGAAGCAATATAGAAGTGTATTGACTACAAACCCCTCTTACTCAGTATTCTCCAACCATATTCTTCCCCATAGCCGTGAAGAGCTGACTTTTGAAATATGTACACTGTGTATGTATGTACGCACATAATCCAAAAGCAGCCACATGTTGTATACTGCAGCTTTGGCCATCAGTGGCCTGCATATATGACAGCGTTCCACCAAAATATGATGTGGTTGAAAGCTTCCCATTGTCTGGTGATGTCATAACTCTCCTAACATGGTAACACACACGAGACTTGAGTCTGTGGTGATACTGGTGGTGATACTGGCCAGTTATATTAAGGCATAGCACACACATCATATCTGATAATGATAAATAACTGTACCACTGGCTTAGATGTTTAGTGTGCTGCACTATAGCATCATTATAAAGTGTTCTCTCTCTACTTATTACGAGAAGTTAAGGGGCTGGGCAAGGGTGCTTAGCGGACAAAGGCCCCTGTGTCTGAGTGAGTCTGGAGGAGAAAGAGGAGGAGGACTTCTGACCCATCTCCACAGCTGGGCTGGAAGACAAGTGGCAGGGTTAGAATGGCCTCTCTGCTCACACTGTGTCCACAGTCAGGAAGGGGAGGGGTGGTGTGGGAATGGCTGGTGCTCAGCTTGTTTCTCCTTTTCATTCAATCCAGGATTTAGTCCACACCCCAGCCTTCCTACCTCAGCTAACCCAGTCTAGACACTCTCACAGACATGCTCAGAGATGTGTCTCCTAGGTGACTCTGGATCCCATCAAGGTGACAGCAGCAGCTCCCTCACTGACCTCTCTGTGTAGGTCTGTGTAAGCACACTGTGGTGTTCAAAGAAGAACAAAGCAGCCCAATGACACATTTCCCCAGTCACTCAGTGGCACACATGTAGAAAAACTGAGTTGTGGTATACACAATATACCACCTTTAATCATCGCAGAGATCACAGACCTTTTCCTGCATCCACGCTTTAGGTCTATGTGACTGTTTGCATTAGTTATTTTTCTTTTCCTAAAAGATCATTTTTATTTTATATATATGAGTGCTTGTTTGCATGTATGTGTGTGCACCTGGTCTGTGTCTGGTGCCCGTGGGAGCCAGAAAGGGGGTATCAGATAAATAACTATACCACTGGTTTAGATATTTAGTGTACTACACAATACCATCTTC